ATATCTCTAGTTGTAAAATAAAAAAGAATTTCATAGAAATTTGATATCGTATTCGTGGAAAGAATAAAATATTTCACTCGCTCTTTTCAATGATAATTCAATAAAGATAAAGAATTATATTACATTTCTTAATAAAAATAATTGTAAAAAGTATCTATAGAAATGAAATAAGAATGAAAAATTTAATAATTTTATAATTATTTATAATTATATAATAATTATATAATAATTATATAATAATTAATAATTTTTTTAAAATTTAATAAAATTTCAATAAAGAATGATATACCTTCGTTACAGTATCTATCTTTTCCACCGTGTTACAATCCATATCTTGATCTTTTTGATTACGATTCTTTCTCATTGAGTCAATTACAATATTATTATTATTATTATTAGCCGAAATTGATCCGAAACGCCGTTGTGGCGGCGCAGAATTAGTCCTCCTTGATTTCTGCTCGGTTTTTTGATTTTCCACCGTTTTTTTTATTGGCGGATTTCTATCGTTCATCGAGTTAGGCCTCGCTTCCGAATTCCTCGAAGACGAAGATTTATCAATCGTAGAATCATCTTTGTTCTCGATGATATTTGATGATACTTGTATGTCATTTGTAGACGAGATTTTTCTACAAATCGAATTGGATTGATCCGCCTCCCTTATCGTTTTATCATCTTGTAAATTATCTCTATTTTCGATCATTGTTTTTATCTGCTCATTTTTATTATCCACACAATTCGATTTATCGCTCACGGCTGTCTTTTCTATCGCGTCTTTCCCGTTCGCAATCGAGCTACACGGAGAATTTTCTCTGGACGTATTTTTCTCGTCCGTTGTATCGTTCTCTTTATTCTCAATCGTTTGCTTTAAAAAATTCTTTTCGATAATTGTGACGCGATTATCGATAGATGATTTTTGAAACGAATTTTTCTCCGATATCGAGCTCCATTTCATCTCTGATCTGATTGGGTCGAGGAAGGCTCGGTTAGTGCCGCTATGAAAACTTGCACGTTTTTGCTTAGCCGATGAGAAATCTTCCTTCTTCGTAATTCCCAAAGGTGAATTTTCTATCTTGATCGATGGTAATGTAGACGTGAGCCGATGATTCGAACAGTCAGAAGGCTGTTTTTTCTTAATAGAGGAAACATACTCGTCGATGTTTGAATTCTTCGATATTTGCTTAAATAAAGAAAATTGAAATTAATGGTGTTTCGAAATTAAAATATGCTTTGTACGCAATTAATCGTTTACCTGCTCCTTTTCCGTATCAACCTTCTCCCGTTCTCTGCTCTGTACAGAAACTTTGTTCTTCTCCAAAGGTAGAAAATTAATAGACAATTTGTCGTCGTTTCTTCCTGAAGTTGTCGCATCATTGTTTTCCAATTTTTTAACAACTTTCTCGTCTTCTTTCTCCCGATCTTCATCTTGTATCATTTTATAGTTATTGTCCAGAGGAATTTCGATCTTAGATTTGTCGTTTACAGGGGACGATGGAGCAGTGGTATGATTCGATATTTCGGAGTCACATCTCTCGTCTAAAGTTTCGCGAGCCAAGAAGATATTTATATTAGCTTTGTTCTTCTCTCGATTTTGCCAAGCGAGCCTCAACCTCTCGGCTAATTCTAATCTAGAGTAAAAAATCGATGATTTCTCGATCCCGATAAATCCTCTCGATCTTCCGCTGCTAGATTTCGATCGTCCTGGAATTTGACGAGCCACCACCTCAACTTGCCCCAGTTCCTCTTCATTTCTTTGAATTTTAGGTTCCTTCCAGGCAACGCGAACCTAAAATTCATCGGCCATCTTGTCATCGATAGTGAAATTCGAATTGAAATTCGAATCAAGCTTTCTTCAAATTTTCTCTCCCTTTTCTCTTTGTCCAAAAAAAAAAAAAATAACAATATCGAACGAGGATTTTTAAAGAAGAAATTAACATTTTACTTTAAGAAGAGAAAGTGAAGGATTTTTGTTGTAGAAAGTGAAGGATACCTTAGGTCTCTCAGAGCCGAGTTTACATGTTCCACGCTTGCCACGTGCAAATGGACTCGCGCAGATCTGCAATGACTTTTCATCCTCCGCGGATCTTTGCCGTCTAACTTGGTGACGACGGGGCGCAGGTGGTTGCAAGGACAATTGCCTGATTGGTCTGATCGATTTTTCGGACATTTCGATGCTGGCGATCGTCATCAAGATTACATTCTATTACGATAAAACGAAATAGAATGACATCTATCGTACTTGAACAAGTTAGAACTAACGTTGATTCACGATTTGAGACAGCAAAGCATATGTTTATAAAAAGAAAGTTACCGCCAGAAATATTTAAATATTAAAAGAAAAGAAGAAAATTATTCGATCAGTTGTTAATAATATATCGATGATACTTACTGGACGAGTTTAAGATTCATTCGAAGGGGGTGGAATACGTAAATACGATGGATGAACTTCCATCGTGGTTGCAGCGCGAGCAAACGCCGACTGACTACCTAACTTCATCCATTGCCCTCTGACACGATCGTTCACCACCACTGCCATTTCACCGATTTATATACCTTCGCGTTACCCACCACCGCCGGTAATCGGTGCCTGTGTGCAGTGCTCGGCCACTAACACGTTACCGTTTCCACCCTCTACTCGGCCAAAGGGTGGTTGAACGATATATTGCTTCCTTTAATTCGAACGACGCTACCACACCGACACTTTGATCGTGGCACACTGTTGGTGGAATGCGAAGGGTGGTCGAACTCACTCACGTACGTTAACTCGACATGCATCGCCCCCTAATTTGCTATCAGTGGTGTAAGGTGAGACATTACGTACTTTTTCCCCCACCATTCTTCTTTCGTCTCGTTTATTTTCTTTTGTTCAAGCGAGAAAGAAGATTTTTCGGATTTCTTAAAAACTCTGAAATTAATACCTCTTCAATTGGGATTAATTTAAATTTGCGACACGAAACATCAAGTATATAAGTTTCGATTCTTTCTTGATGCTTAGGATTTTAGAAATGTTGAATCTTGCGTATTCTTGAATATTCTTTTACGAATATTTATTTATATTTGACTCGAAAAATGATAAATATCGATAATGAAATTTCTTATTTCTATTATTAAATTTTAATACTTTCCTCTTATCTTTCCACCTTTCCTATAATAAAGAATAATTAAAATTTTCTTTTTTTTAACGCATATTTGAAAATCTTTTATTTATTATCATTTTATTCTTTCTCTTTCTTTCTCACTTCCCCAATTATTTCTCCGCAATTATTCGCCTTCCGTCAACGTTAAAGAAGAGCCAATCGCTCGATATTGTTCCACGAAGGCATCAACTACAACTGGATGACTCGATTTCCCGGGAACGTGTCTTAAATCGGCAGAGCCGAATTATAGCCGACAGTCACCGGGTATTATTGATCAAAACTTTACCTATCATCTGACAGGTTGTTGTCCGGTGTTGCCATGGCATCGGCGATCATTCAAATCCATTTTTCTCTCGTTCGTTTCTTTCTTGCTCGCCTTCTTCTTCGCCCGCCACCAAGTCACTCTTCAATCGCTGCGGGAGGATTTAAACGCGAAACTTTCGCCCCCGGAACTCGGCCACGTCGAATCCTTGAAAATTAAGAGAATCCCATTAGCTCTTCTACCCTTAATTGCCTCGCTTATCAACGATTTAGACGTACCTTGGCCCAGGGATGGGCAATACCGATGGATGGACGAATTGTTCATCGATTTCCGTGGATAACTCTTCTCTTCGTTTCTATCTTAAATTTTCATCGTTTCGAATATTTAAATTTCTCCTCTTCTTCTTTTAAATTGCAATTAAATCAATTAATTAATTCGAAGCTGGATACGTATAATTTAAATTATACTCAAAATAATTAAAAAAGTAATATTATTGGCTGAATTGATGATTATGCGAATTTTTTTTTTATTCATTTTTTTTTTTCTAAGGATCATTATCGTTTCTAAAAATCTAAATTGAGATTGTTAACGTTTATTTACGAAATATCTTTACGTTTTGTATCATTGGTGGAATCGAAGTTTTTAATTTTCATTCGAGTTTATCCATCCCTGTTCCGGTTTCTGGAATGGCTGTCTATCGTGCTCGATCGGGACTAGAAAGTTCGACTTGGCGAGGCTTGCCAAGAAATTTTCGAGGCTCCTCGTTTCACGATCGAGCCGTTTCATCAGGATTGATGGATGCCTGATTTGCCCGCAACACGAAAAACGGAATTATAAATTATTTTTCCAAACTATTTTCTTTTTATGTTTAAAATATGACTTGAAGAAAAATCCAGTAAAAAAAAAAATTGATTGATTTTTACAAACATAATAATCTAAATATAATCTCTTCTTACCAAAAAAAAATATATATATTTATATATACAGGATGTCTCAAAAATGAAAAAATAATTAGATTAATTAGAGATTTCTGAGATAATTTCATCTTCCTTTGCAAAAACTTTCGTTATTTAGCTTCGTTAAGGAGTTATTAAGAAAAAACATTGAAGCACGTAGACTAGTCTAATTACGACAGTGTCAGATAGTGTCGTCGGCTGAACACGAACAAGTTCAAGCAACACGTGTCGAAAAAAAAATCTGTTGAATGTATCGAGAAAGAAAATTATTCAAGGGATCTTTGTTTTGTTACTTTTCTTTGTTATCGAGTGAAGGAAAGGAGGATGTGATTTTTGACAAAAAAAGAGGTGCATTTCTTGAATAATTTAATGTAATTTTTTATCAAAAAAAAAAATATCTGTAACATTTAACAGATTTTTTTTCGACACATGTTGCTTGGATTTGTTCGTTTATTTAACATATTTGTCGTCGCAGCTCGTGATTGCTTTTTGTTAATAACTTGTTAATTGTAAAAATTGTAAGGAAAGTTTGTGCATAGAAAAATGTTGCTTAAAAAATCTCTAATTTGAATCTGCTAGATATTTCCACATTCCTGAATAATTGTGTAATCTTATTATGTTACTACTTTTTATTTTATTCTTTTACAGATCTTTAAAATTAATTTGGAAGAAATGGCAAACGACAGTTCTTTCACTTTTTTGTTAGAAGATTCGTTCAGCGACAATGATAAAAGTATCGAAGATTATTCGTCGAAATTAAAAATATCCTTTAGAATAATTCAATTTCTTGTAATTTCACCTTTTCTTAAATATTGCTATTTACATTAGCGAAATGTAAATATAATTTATTGCTATTTTATTTTTCTTAATCAATGATAATGATCACGATGCTTTGGAGAATCTTGTTCAGAAATACGATGGGGAATTATTGCAACGAACATTGGAACAATCTTTATCCTCCTGCTCGGATAATTTATTAGATGAGAAAATTTTCAACGAAATTTTTCCTCTCGCCCATGATCTTTTATTCGAGGTAAAGAAGTAAAAAATATTATTTTACCAATAAATTTAACCGATTATTACATTTTTATTTTTTTTTTTTTATCCTCGTTCGAAGACTTTAAAGCAGATCGGTGAAATTATAAATACAAACGAAGTGAACGAAGACACGGTGCAAGACACGAAACGAAAACTGTTCGTTTGCCACGAATTGTTAAAAATATGGGAAAAATCTATGGAACGTGTCTCGAAACTTCAGAAAACATCTGCCATCGATCTTAAATCCATACTGGAGAACGTACTTGTTACGATTGAATTAATATTCAAACACTGTAGAGGAAGGTGAAGTGGAATTTTTTAATTTTCTGATAATCTATTAAATATTATTATACCGATGATTTTAAAAAGTTTTAACCTTTGAGAGACAAATCGATATAAAAATGTCCGCATCCAGCAAATATTTAATATTATGGATACGATATTTCGCGTAAAATATATATTTCCTAATGATGATTTTTATGCTATATTAAAGAATGAAGAGAATTTTTTTTTACAGTAAAAAATTATACGGTGTTTTATTCGATCACATATCGGAGGAATTAACGAATCTCTTTCGTAAAGCAAAAACGATCTTGAATCTATTCTTGGCCACTTTAGACGGTGTAATAGTCTTCGACACGGATACGGAATCGGAAACGGAACTGTTGGTAAAAGGTGAGCGATCCTATTACGTCTTAACGATTCTTTAATACGAATCATCTTTATCTTCATCGAATACACCGAGTATAGAAGAAGAAGAAGAAGAAGAAGAAAAAAGACACAATTGCTCTATTCAATTTCTCATCTTATACTGTCGATATTAACAATATGATTGAAAATTTTTATTCGTACATTTTATTCTTCATTTTACGAAGAAATCGAATATTCAATGACATTAAAAGAAAAATTAAATAATTTATAGAAATTCTTTTTAATTCGTCGTTTCGATTAAAAAAGATATTTTTCTATTCAAAACAGTGATTGATTCTATCGGATTGTTCGTCACTATTGCTCACGATTTAGACTTGAAAACGTTCGTAGAAACGTCAAAAGTATTCGGAAAATTGGCAATTACGAAACAAGATCTTGTCAAAAGAACGAATGCTACGAGCGTCACTTCGCATCTTGCGCAATTGGCAAAAAATATATCCTCGATGTTTTTGTTCTGTCAGGTATGTTTCTTTTAAAAAAAAAAATACATATATATATAAAATTTTATATTGCTAGATTAATCATATTTCCAATTAATCTAATCTAATATAAAAAAATTTTATTTTATGATACGAAAAGATTGAATCATCGATATCATCTATTATATGTCACTTTTTAACTCGCTTATCAGATATTTTATTGATTTCTCTATTAATATATCTATAATAATAGTTCGTGTTAAGTCTATAATGATGCACGAACAATGCTTTTTTCTCATTTTTTTAAATAACAGATATCGAAAAATATTAGAAAATAACTAATAATAAAAGAGAATTTAAAAATAAGTTAAAAATTTGTATTTTTTTTTTTTTTATAAAATTGTTATTATATGTATTTTTATACAATTATATTTACACAGGATTCAACTGAGCGGATCGATGAAAGAAAAATAAAAGTTATTGGTCATTCGTTAAAAATTTTGGACAAATTATTCGCAACTTATTGTTCATACATAAATAATGAGATTCTTTCGTTTGTAATCGAACTTTTATTAAAAATGCACAGGTATTTAATTATTATTTTTATTTCCTTTGTCTCTTTCGTTTAATTTCAAATTTCTTTCTACATCATTTCTTTGCAAAAATAGGTGTTCTCCGTTATGTTTGCAAAAATCAAAGATCGACGATAAATTAATCGAATTAATAAATGTACATATCTCTCGAGGATCGGAACCATTTTTAAATACAGTTTTCAAATCTTCCGATTTCAAGCAGGTTCGTCCATTTTATTAATAATAAATTTGTTTAATCACGAATATGGAATATTTTTTTCGACACTCTTAAAAAATATTTTAGGCATTTTTCGAATATGGAAATCAAGCAAACATCGATAAATTAGGTTATCACTTATTAATAGTTAGCATTATGAAAAAATTAATCAACATGCCGTACGAGCAACATTGTAAATGGACATTAGGCGCTGAATCGATCATTGATGTTGCATTAACTAACATTAATCACAGTAAGTACCCATTTTTTTTTTATGTACGTTTAATATTTATTAAATTTATAAATCTTAAGTTGGTTAATTTTTAATAACCAAACTTATGATTTGAATGAAACTTATGAATCGACCATTTTAAAAAGTTAAGTTAAGAAAAGATCGGAGAAGCTTGGAATTAAACAAAATCTTGAAAATATTTATATTTGTATCCTCATAAAGTACAGGAAGAAATATTGGTGGGTCAAGTGAGATTACCAGGTGTACACGATATCGGAGAAAGACCAAGATCAGCTTCGATATACGAAGCCACAATAGTGCCAATTTGTAGTCTGATTAGTCAAATACCTGCGGATGGATTTCAAGCTATCGAATTGATTTTGTTGAAGCATTTGCTGAGCAATCAATTTTGGAGTTCCTTGCTCAGTTCGGATATTTGGTGTTTCGTTGATCGGTTTGTAAATCGCATATCTCGAATAATCCATGAGCCATGATATCATATTTCATAATCGAAATAAGACTCGATTATTTATTTTTTTTCCTTATAACTTTTTTTTTTCCTTATAAAATTTATCGCGATACCGATTTTCTGATAAATTATTGAATATGTATGAATTGTGTTTGAATATGTATGATGTTGAATCCCACGTAATTATCCTTATCTTTTCAGCATTGGCTCGTCGGAACTTTGCATTAGTCACGTGAAATATCTGCTAAAAGTTTATGCTGTTTTAATGACACGTAGCAATAGTCTCGAAGTCGTTATATTGGAGAATTTAATTGGAAGATTGTACAATTTACTGTCAGAGGAAACGAAACATACTCTTATAACGGAATTTGATGATCTCGAAAATCCATCCTGGTTACCCGTCGCTCGATTTTTGCCATCCAAAACGAAATCATTCTTGCAAAGTCGATTAGCATGTATATTAAATGAAATCCCGACTGCCTTTGCAGAATTACAGCGGCAACCCACCGTACAAAACTGGAATCATATTGTAAATTACATTCGAATAAATTTTTCGTTTTTTTTTTTTTTTCTTTTTTTTTTTTTACGAGGATTTTAATCACAATTATTTTCCACATTAAAAGACAAAGCTGATGCCATTGATCGGGAAATTGAATTACACGGAAGAAAAAAATATCATTGATATTCTCTCTCAGATATGGAACTCTATAGCAAGCACAATCGAAATTTTCGAAGGTAGACAATTGGATATATTATCGGAATTTATATTGAAGTTGTTTGTTGCTACACAACCACAAAAAATTCAAGATAATATTTTCTTCTCGGTATGTTCACTTTTTCCTTTCTTTTTTTATTATATAATATAATAATAATTTACACATTGTCATTTTATTAGATAATATATAATAATAATATTACATAAAATAAAATTTATTTTGAAAATTTAAATTTTGTGATTCGGTTTGAATTTTGTTTTGGATATATTCTTTTTTAACTTAAATCAATTTATAAAAAATATAATTTTTTTTATTTTGATGTATCATAGAAAAATTATGTATCAAAAAATTGTAACACATCTTTTTATATATAATCGTTTAAAATTATATATATGCAAATAATATTTAATTATTTCAGATTATAGAAGCAATTCTAACGTCATTTTTTTACTTTCCGCCGCATGTTAAAGCGATTGCGTCACATTACTTAAGAAATAATATCGATTCACTTGACAGCTGTGAACTTAAAGTTGCCAATGCGTTAGCGGAATTCAATTGTCGACTTTTAGAAGATGAAAATCCTTGGGTACGACAAGAAGCCTTTGAATCATTCGATCATGTGGCCCATATGTGTCCGAACGAAGATCTTGTTACTAAAATGGCTGCTGCAGTTACGAAAAAATCGTTATTAAAAGATTCTTTGCCGGCTTATTTATCTGGCACGATTTATTATGAACTTCAAAATTTCTCAAATATTGAAGATTACTTGCAACATATAGGAAAACATTTGCAAGACATCTACCATGTTTGTAATAATTACGAGGATTCTCAAAGGGATGAAAAACTTCCTAAGTTGGAAAGTCATTCCATCGAAAGTTTTGATGAAAATCCATCTATAAACGATCTTGATGAACACGTGAGCAGAATATGCGACGAATTGAATGATATTTTAAAAAAGAATAATGATATCAGTAATCATGTTTTACGAAGATTGCAACTAGTTTGTAAGAAAATTCTGGATCTAACTGAATCTAAATAAATATATTTTGTAAATGAAATAAGATAAGATCGCATATATTAAAACGTATATAAATGTATTAGTACATATATGTACTTAAAAGAGTATTAATATTATTTTTTTTATATATTTTACTTAAATTAAGTATTATTATATATTATATATTATAATAAGATAGCCAATACATCCTCTAATAGCTGATCCCAGAAAAATCATGTCCAATTTATTTCGTTCCGTTTTATTAAATCATTTTGTTTTATTACAAAAATATTAGAGACTATCTTTCGGAATATTTTTTATTTATTATTGAAGCTTTTACTTTTTTTTATACATCATTAATATAAATATTAAGATAACATAACAAATATTTTTATAAAGAAAATTAAAAATATAATTTATAAATTAATTCAAAAAATGTACTGAAATGATTGAATATGATGTTTAATATCCTTGATAAATATATATTGCATAAAGTAAAGGTATATTGCATAAAGTTATTTATAATTATGTGAGTATATAGTATATTATATAATATGCATACGGAAATGTGTGTGAATAAATATATATTATAATATAATTAATATATTATATGATATAATATAATTAACATATTGTATATGATGGAAATGATAATATATCATTTTATCATATCATTTCAAGATAATATTCATAATTTCAAGATGATAAAATTTGAAAATTTTAATTAAAAAAATTGAAAATTATTAAAAAATAAATTTTAATTGATATCTTATATGGAAAATGATATGATATGATATATATATATATATATATATCTTATATATCTTATATATATCTTATATATATATATATATATATATATATCTTATATTTTTATCGTTAATATTTATTTTTATTTTCAATATATATATATATTTTATTGTAAACTAAAGAAAAACTAGTAATATCCAATGAAATTATCTAATATTTTTACTTGCATAGCTTTGGCAGTATAGATTCTAAGTATAGTTTCTGGTTTACTTTGCGTTATCGTTAAATGTGTTTAAGATGTCATATGTTTAAAATATACATATATTATATAAAGAGTTTTATATATTTACACATTTAAGATTTTTTTATTTTTCTTCTATATTATATGATAAAATTAATTATTTTTAGTAGTACAGTTTTTGTAGTGCATATTTTAATTTATATAAAATTTTTCAAGGTTTGAAGTTTAAGTTTAAGTGCTATTATAATTTTATAATAATCTAAAATAATGAATGCAAAAAATACATGTCGATATTTTATGTTATATCTAGATGCAAAATTTGGAATTAAAGAAAAATTTATCTAATGATAGAGTATTTAATGCAATAAATAAAATATTTATATCATTAGAAGATGATGATATACATAGAATTAATAAGTCTTTATTGCTGGTATGTTTTTATATTATATGTTATGATATTATATATTAGTTTATATATAATAATATATATTATATAATTGTATATTATTATATATAGTTATATGTATATTATATGTATATAATGTATATTATTATATTATATATTTTATTATATAATATTATAATTTAATTCAATAGGTGATTCAAGCTATGATAAATCTCATGAAATCAGAGGATTCATTGTTTAAAAAAGCATACCAAGAAATTATTTTTATAGGTAGTTTTTATAAAGGAACAAAAATAGAAAAACCAAATGAATTTGATTTAAATATTATTTTAAAATTACCTTTTAATAATAAACAAATAAATGTAAGAATATTTTTATTTAATTATAATAATCTTAAGTTATTTTTTAATTCTTAATGATATTATATAATTATATAATATAATTCTTAATGATATGAAAATTTTTTTTCCATCCAGTTTTATTCGGAAAGGCCAGCTTTCGTCCAAATTCAAATAGATCAATCATCTATATATAATTCATCTAAATATGATCTTCTCTCAGATAAAGAAAAAAAGTTGAAGAATAAATTATAATTATTATAATTTATATAATAATATATAAACAATTTCATTATATTTTTATATAAAATATTATTTTTTTTTTAGAACATATAACAGTATTATTGATTCTGGCTATTTAAATCCAGATAAATTTCGTTTTTGGATTCAAAGAATTCTATCTAAAGTTCTTAATAAATTACCAAAAGTTGAAGATAAATATGAATTAATAGTAAATAATCAAAAGATAAAAATCAAAATAATAGAGAGTGGTCCTGCATATACAATAATAATAAATATGCCACATGAAACTGAAAATATTCATATTGATTTAGCTCCAACATTAGCTTTCCATATAAATAACATTAATCAGTTTACTTCAAAATTTAATGAACTTCAAAATGTTTGTATGTCTATTATATTTAAATAAAAATATTTTTATATTATAAAAATTTTTTGTTTTTAGTGTCGAAATGAAACATGGTTTGCAATTCCATTACCATTAACAGATAATGATTCTAATAATAAAAATCTTTATTGGAGACTTTCTTTTAGTTATCAAGAGAAAGAAATTCTTGCTAAATATGGTCGTATAAAACCAGTCATACGTCAAATAAAGGTTGTTTAATAAATTATGTACTTTAATTTTAATATTACAAAACATTTCTAACATTGTTGTGTTTTTTTAGAAATTAAGAGATACACAAAATTGGAAAAGTATTGCAAGTTATTACATAGAAACTTTATTTTTACATAAAATAGAAGAATTAAAAAATGATCTTGAAAAAATACCATTTACATTATTTTTATTTAAAGTAAGATATAATATATATGTGTAATGATATATATAATATATAATATTAGAATCAATATGTATAAAAAATTTATAATTTTCATTATTTGTATTATTCATATGAATTATTATTGTTTTTAGATGCTTCAAGAATTATATTATGCTTGTGATAAGCACATGTTGGAATTTTATTGGGATAAACAGTATAATTTATTCTCAAAGATTAGTAAAATAGAAATGCGTAACATAACTTACCGCTTAAAAAATATTATAAGCAATATTGAAAAATGTTCAAGTGATCAATTCATATTAGCTAAATATATTTGTAAGTTGTGCTTTTTAAAATTACGAAATGATGATATTTGAAATATAATTTTTCACAATTTTTTCTTCTTTTAATATAAAATTCAATATAAATGATTGCATGATTAATAAAACAAAAATTATTATTATGAAATTTTTCTTCAAAAATTAATAATCATTGTAAATGATTGTTTATATTGAATCTAAATTTTATTATTTTTTTTTTATTACAGTAAATTCAAACGAATTACAATTATTAAAAGAAAAAATAAATAACAATCAATATATAGAAGGTATATATTAATTATAATTAATATATTATAATAAAATATAATTATATTATATTCATAATTATAATTATATTATATTATAATTATAATTTTATATTAAAATATATTTATATAATTTTATAGATCGAAATAATGAGATACAAGAAGAAAATAGTAATTTATGTATAATAATTTGATTTATTTTAAAATATTTTTATATAACAAAACAAAATATTTTTATATAACAAAATTATTTTTTAATATTAAAAATTTTATTCAAAGTTTATAAAACTTCATAAATATATATTTTATAATATTTTATAAATATATATTCAATATATTTCTAATAATTTTGTATTTAATTTTATACTCAAAATATTTTCAAATTAGAACATTGATATTAATTAATTTTAAACATTTTATTTTTTTAGTATATTTATTTTGTTAATATGTTTCATATGTTTATATCTTTTCAATTATGATTTTTATGTAATATATTGTATTTAATATAAAATTTGAAACATAAAATAATTTATTTTAAAAACATTCATATTATATTATTAATTATTATATATATAATTATTATAAATATATATTAATTTATATATATTTGTTAAATAATTGTATTATATTAAAAAAAAAATTTAAAAAATAAAAGAGTTTTTGATATATCAAAATAAATACTATTTACTTATATGATTAATTAGAGGTATTGCATTAGAATCAGCCCAATCTACAAAAAAGTTTCCTAAGTGAATAGCACAGCGAATCATTGTAAGACAATCTCCTTCAGCACTATGTGCACTTTCAGGCTCGGTACCAAAAATATGTTTACAAACATTAGTTAATTTAAAATTTATTGGTCGACTATTTGTAAAATCTAATTTTCTTCTTGCGTTTATACTTCTTTTTCTGTCCTGAAAATTTTTATCAGAATGTTGAATTTTTATAATTTGATTCTTAGGTGTTTTTTCATTCAGTTCTTGCATTTTTTTATAATAATTAGTTTGTGGAGTATTAGATATACTATTAGAATGAGATATAGTTTTCTCAATTTTAAGAAAAGTGTCATTTTTGTTATCATTATTTGTATTTATAATAGAATCTAATGCATCAGATAAAATTTTATCATAACCATCATTCAATAAAGTACTAACTTCAATATTACAAGAATTAATTTGGTTATTCATTTTTTTTGATTCTTCACGTAAAAAGAAGTCTTTTACTAACTGTAGCATATCAATACTTAAAATATTTTCACTGAAACTCTTTAAAAATTAAAATTAGATTATTTAATTAGATTATATTAATATCAAATTATTCATATCATAAAACTATGAATTATAAATACCTTGTCAATAGTTTTAAGTTCTGATAAAAAGATGGGATAATCAAAATTATTTCCATTATAAGCTACAAAGCAAGTTGGTGCTTTTTGTCGATTTATAAAATTTATTATTAAATTATATACATCACAGTTAAAATGTTGAATTTCACATAAATTTTCATTAGATAAACCTAACAATATAAGTTTTATTCATATAAAACTTAAAGAATATAGAAGTCTATGTGAAATAAATTATTAAATTATTAAATTAAAAATTAATTATTATAATTAAATTACATATTACCTGTCAATGTTTCAATCTCTTTTGAAAGATTCAAATTTGGATGTATTGGTAAAACAAGTTTTTGTAAAACTCTTGGTAAAAAATCCTTAGTATTACATACAGCAGTTCTTGATACTGCTATTAATGATAACTCGGTTACTTTTGGCATACAACTTTTTGTTATTAATCCTGTTGTTTCCAAGTCAAAGAATATAAATGTTCGTATCATTTTTAACGAATTTAAAATTGCAATATGAATTTCTATTAAAAAATAAAATTTTAATTATTAATTATAAAATTAATAATTTTCTATTTTGGAATAAATAAAAATAAAATATTATTTTTATTCAAACCTTTTTAATCATGTGTATTAAAATACAATTATGTTAAATAGTTAAAATACTAATGATATATATAAATATTTATTTTTTAGAATGATGATAAAATATTTGTATTGCATTTGATAATTATTTTAAATTATTAATTAAAATAAATTTTTAATATTATTTTTTATTAAACATGAAATCTTTTTTCACATGCAATAAAATTAATAATAAATATTTCCTTCATTACAATTATTTTAACTTTAAAATAAAAGTTTTAAATTATTGATAAATAAAAAATCTATCTTTCAATCATGACAAGTTAGAAGTGATACAGGTTATATATCATATTATTAAGTTTTAAACAATTTTTCAAAACTAACGCCATCTCGCGTTTGGATGATCGAAGCTATGACTTATTATTAGCATAGCAGCATATGCAAGGAGGTATACTAATTGTGACGTCACAGACAAGGAAGGCAATATTCTACAAGAAGGATAGAAAATATCTTTCGATAAGACGGAAAACTCATTAATTATTCGTTTTTTAGTCAAAATTTTGGCACTTTTAAAACCGCATTTAAAAGATAAAATTTTAGCCAAGTTTCTCGTTACAATTTTAATATGAAATTCTTTATCATTAAGTATTTATTAACGATTAACGTGTCATTCATTTCCATGCATCGGTGACGCCATATTGAATATTTATTAATTAATCTTTTTCAATTAAAAATTTCAGCATTTTGCATTAATGACAAAGAATTTTACACTAAAATTGATGTAAGAAATTTGCCTAAAGTTCTAACTTTTAGATGCGATATTGAAAGTGACGAAATTTTCTTTAAAAAACCAGTAATTAATGAATTTTCAATATAGCGTTTTTGATGTGTTAGAACATATGATGCGTTAATCATTATTAATCGTTAATAATTAATTAATGGCGAAGAATTTTATATTAAAATTGATACGAGAAACTTGTTTGAAGTTCTAGCTTTAAGATGCAATCTTAAAAGTGTCGAAATTTTGCGTAAAAAATGCATAATTAATAAATTTTCAATATAGCGTTTTCGATGTATTAGAACGTATGACGCATTAATAATTATTAATCGTTAATAATTAATTAATGGTAAAGAATTTTATATTAAAATTGATACGAGAAACTTGTTTGAAGTTCTAGCTTTAAGATGCAATCTTAAAAATGCCGAAATTTTGCGTAGAAAACGCATAATTAATAAATTTTCAATATGGCGTCTTCGATGTATTAGAACGTATGACGCATTAATAATTATTAATCGTTAATAATTAATTAATGGTAAAGAATTTTATATCAAAATTGATACGAGAAACTTGTTTGAAGTTCTAGCTTTAAGATGCAATCTTAAAAGTGCCGAAATTTTGTATAAAAAATGTGTAATTAATTAATATTCCATGTATCGTTTCCGTAGTAGTGGGAGATGATCTCTATCCTTTTCTTATAATGATGCTTTCTTTGTCTACGACTTCGCATACCTCCTTGTATATTCTGCTATGCTAATAACAAGTCCAAACTTCGGTGATCCAAACGCGAGATGGCGCTGATCATCAATATTTTTTGTTGATTCTTGTCTATCTTATGTACAAAATGTTATTCGTCAACAATTTGTAGCAAATTGAAAGAATAATATTCCAGTTTGTATTTATTATATGAAACAAAACAATTTTGATATATGTTAAATATTTAAAATGGTTTATTATTGTTTATATAAAATTTAGTTCTTCTTTATAATGAAAACTGTATGTATGTAAATGGTAAATATTTTAAATATATTTTATAATACTTTGATCATAATGTCGACGGATTTAATGAACATCGATGGCCATATAAAAAGATTGCAAAAAGAGACCTTAACTCCATATAAAATAGCAACTGTTATTTTAATTAAAGAATATTGTAATGAAACGACAAAAGGTAATTTAATATTAATAATTCTGAAATTATTTAATATAAATAAATAATATTTTTTTTCAGCAATTGTGGAAAGACGTGACTTTTGTTTAGTTGCATTGAAATTGATTCAAGTAAGTATTATTAATTAAGAAAAAAAGAAAACTTTATATTTTTAAATATATCTTGATATATTTTTTAAATTTAATAAAATGAAATATTTTACTAGTATATACTACTTACTATATAGTAAAATTTTAGTATTTAATTTTATTATTTAAGTTAAATAAATGAAGTCTTTTTTTATATTTTTTTGGTTAGTCCCCTGACATGGAGCTTAATACACTTTTGAATATTTTATATTCTCCTGAATATATTTTACATCGATTTGCACATCACATGGAAGTACAATTGAATGTATTAAGAGGGAAAGGAGTTGAAGGATTATTAGATTTATTTGATAATGTTGGACGACTTATGAAACCAACATTGGATCATTCTCTTTCTTTGCCTGCTCTAAATAAAAATTCTGTTCTTGGATTATATATAAGAAGAGTTATAATTTTTTTTGAAAAGTTACCATTTGATCAAGTTGTAGCCTTATATGAAGCTTTAAAAAAATATCTTGATAATAGGATTAATACTTTTGATGGTTCTGATGTATCTGCAAGTTCTAAAACAAAAGATTCATATTCAAATGAGTATGTATTTATTATATTTATAATCTATACATGTATTGTACATAGAATTTATTTTAATTTCTTTATATTTTAATAGAACTAAAACTTGGGGTGGAAGACAAGCTGAGTTACTCGTTGCACAACAAGCACATGCATTGCAGACAGATGAACATAAAGCAATGTCTCCTGCAGAACTTCAAGTTCTTGTACGAGAACTTTTAAATTGTAGTCCTTATTATGCTGAAGCTGTGAGTACTATGTGGTAAGAACATTTTTCCCAATTATTTGAGAAAATATAATTATGATATTTTTTATATCTCTTACTTTTTATATTCTTTAATATATTTCAGCATTATTTAAGTTATTTAAACTGTCTAAGAGTCAATGAATACTGTGGAGCTATAGACAGTCTCTATCATTGCTTTGATAGATTAGCACCTTTGGAAAATCGTTCCGCACCTGAAGAAAGATCACGTATTTTTAGATATGCAGCTTTAAATTTAGCAGTTTTACATGCTCAATTTAATCATAAGTATGTTTTATATAAGTTTTAAAATTTATATATTTTTTTAATGTATAAATATGCGTAATTATTTGTGTTGTTATTTTCTTTTTATTTAAGAGAAGTAGCTCAAGCTGCTTTAAAAGAAGCTATCATGATGGCTCAAGAAGCTGGAGATAATGTATGTTTACAATTAGCACATGCTTGGATGTATCATTTAACTACCAAACAAAAGTGAGTTAAAATTTTTTCAATAAATAATTAATACTTAATTTCTTTATGTTAGAAATAAAATTGTAAATATAAAAAATTTATTTGTATATATATATATAAAATATTTTAGGGGACCTCTTATAGAAAGATCAGTTGGTAAAGCAAGTATGTTAGGAATAACTCATACAACTGGATTAGGACTTATTGCATATGCTCATAATTCTGCATTAGAAGCTAAAAATCCATCACAAGTGTTTGAGGCATATATTTTTTTAATTCAATTATATTTGATATACATATATACTAAATTAAATTATTCAGAATTATTTTTATAATATATTTATTGTAGACCCTGATGAAATCTGATGTTTTAAATTGTCAACATTCCATGATAGATTTAATGTCGATGACGTATGCGGAAAAATCTGCATTATGGGCATATTATGGTAAAACTGAAATGTCTTCTGTTTGTGCACAATTATTACTCTTACACAATACAGGAGATAAAAAACAACATATGTTTAATGGTCCATCTACTTGTCAAGCTGTTGTTAATATTGCAAACATCTTAGTAGAATTTGGAGAATATTTTTTGGTTGATATTGTACTTGCTCATGCTAAAGAAAGATTTCCCAATGAACCATGTAATAAGGTATCATTTATATGAATCCATATCAAATTGATATTATTGATTTAATATTAAATGAATTATTTATATAAGTTTATATATGATTGCATACTATTTTTTTTATATATTTGTTTTATAGATATGGATGCTAAGTGAGCAACTTTATGTATTTACACAATTAATGAGACAAGAAAAATGGAGTGAAGCTGAAGCAATAGCGTTAAATATTTCAAGTTTAGATCCTTTGGAATGTAAATTTAGGTATAATAATATTTAAAGATATTATTTCATTATATATCAGTATTCGTATATTCGGTATATATATCATGAAATTTAAAATATCTTCAAACTCCTTCATTTTTAATGATATGTATGTATACATAATTTTTATATTTATAAATTTGAATAGATTAGCGGAAGTTTGTTTAGAAAAAGGAGATTATCCGAAAGGTTTAGAATGTATTGATAATATTGAGAAAGATGAACAAATAACTCCTCAAAATAAAATAAGAGCTATGATTCTTTTAAGTCAAATAATGTGTGCTTCTGTTTCATCAGAGAGTGGAATTGTAGGAGTTAATTCATTAGTACTTTTAAATACAGCATTAGAATTGGCAATAAAGAATCATTTATCTTATTATAAAGCATTAATAAAAATGCATCTTGCAAACATTCAGGTAACTAAATTAGTTAATATTTTTTTCTATGATTTGAAGTTACACATTCACAATTATTGTTATTAAGTATATTTATATTAATATTTTCAGTTAATAATGGGTATGCCAACTTTAGCATTAAATTTAGTAGAGGAAGCAATTACGCAAATTTTAGCGCATGGAGGATATTATGATCAAGGTAGAGCGTTTATTTTATATGCAAAATGTTTAGTCGCTACTGCTCCAATATGCGACAAAACTCGAAAGGAAGTAATTTTAAAAGCTATTAAAGCTCTTTCCAAAGCAAAAAATTATTTTACGAAAATCGAAGCATATGGAAAACTAAGAGTTACATTATGTTTAGAATCTTTACTATGTCATGAGATTGATCTTAAAACTGAACGAAATCAATGTGCTTTTGAATTTCGTCAATTAGATCAACAACTTCTTACAAAACTAGATAATTTATCATTATATTGAAAACAGAAAAAAAAAAAAAAATAAAAAACGATAAACATACAAATATATGTATAAATTGAAATAATACTCTTTTTTTTCTGTGTATTAAGGAACGAAACATTCAATTGTATTTTCGTAAAAATCTTTCTTTTTATATTGAAACGTTAAATATTCATTAATTAAAAATTATAATCTTATGATATTAATACGATATTAATACGATATTCATATAATCATTGTAATAAGTTATTTGTATGTATATGGTTATTTTTTAAAATAAAAGATGTTAATAAATTGATGTTAATAAAAGTTTTTAATATAAAATTAATATAAAACTTACCTGAAATATATTCTGAAAATGATTATTTAATCTATTATAAAATAAAATAATGGAGGAGAAATAAAGAATTTTTAAATAATAATGACAAGTATACAATAGAAACATTTATTTATAGAGTCTGCCGCGAAGATACAACAGAATTTTCCATATTCTAAAGTTTTTTACCTACTCCTATTATGGGAGTTAGGTATAGTTCATACGAGTTATCTTCATTTCTTGTTTATCATTTGCCAACAAGTTTTTCTGTTCAAAAATCAACTCGCATGAATCACATAGTAAGTGCACACAGGACACAGATAGGTGAATGATAACGCACGAAAATCACGAGGATTTTTATTTAATCCCAAAAATTTTCAGCGAATCGTCAAAGATGTATAGATGGTACTTTCATCGAAGAAACTTTGAATGCGTATACTTAAGTGATAGATTACATCCGTTGAAAAACACGCACACATTTTTGAAATTTATCGACATTTTTTGTGAGCAATTTTTATCTTATTCAAATACTTTTTATTTTGTGAAAAGCATTTTTCTTATAATAATATTTTCTTTTTCTATAATACTAATAGCAGGACTTATTTTGCGAATATATTTCTTTCTTTTCTTGTTAACTTTTAAAACAGATATGTTTTTTTTTTTCGAAAGTATTCGTTTCAATAATTATATGTTTAAATAAACCCGTAATTTTTCAGATATGGATGCTCACTTCGATTTTTTTTTCAAATTTTTCACGCTAAAGTGCACGTATTTTCGGTGCAACAAAGGGGGGAAGACATATGAATATACACAGCCGGGTTTACACATAATGTTTTTTTTTTTTTTTTTTTTTTTTTACAATACAAGAGTGACATAGTTTAGAAAACATTTCTATATTGTCACAATACGATTTCTTTATTTGCTCCGATGTATTGAATTTAATTACGCACAATTAAGCGTTTGCCTAGTTAATTTTTTTTTTTTATAGCAATTTTATATTTTATTGTTTCTAATACAACAAAAATATTATCTATAATTATATCTCATTAATTATAATTAATTAATTATTAATAGAATATAATAAGAACATATATAAAAATTTAATATATGTACTTATATTATAACATATAATAACAAATTGGAAGAAATTGGAGGAATTTATATTGATTTTTAATGAAATCCATTCTTTTGAGAAATATATAGAATTCTCTATAATTTTTCGAATGACAATGAAAATTTTAATTTGTGATATACATAGTTCTTCGAATTGATATTTTAATTTCCCTGCACCATAAAAATATGAAGTGGAGCACTATCTGCTCGAGTTTTATTCAAAGATCGTATATTAGAATACACATTTTTCTTTATAATAAATTTTATAATACATAACTATTCTATTAAAAATAGCATCGTTACCATGGACATTATTCTGAAACATATATACGAAATACCAAAATATTGATCGTTGTTCAAAATGTTCAAAATAGAGATGATTTTATAATCACTTTTTCTAACTTAAAAGCCTTTAAATTATGATACCGATAATTACATATCATTATTCATAATAAAGCATGAATTTCATAACGATTATTTTAATCTTAATGAAATTTAAATAAAAAATTTTCATACTTTCTCAATTGTTCCAATAATTATAAACATTTTTACGAATTTACATCATTAATATAATATATAATGTGATTTGTTAAAAAAAAAAAATTGTTTGCGCCTTTAAACAATAAAAACAGCCGAGCAAATTAATCATTCAAAGCTGTGCATTTCGTTCGAGGTAGGTTCTTCATTTTTTTTTTCTCGTTCAATGTTATCCTGATTGAGCTTTTAGAAGACTTTTTAGGCGGGCAAGAATCAAAAGCGACGAGAAGTTCTTTCCTTTCGAATCTTTTCCTTTTGTTACAATTTTCTCGACTTTTTGACGAGATTCTGTCCGTTTTGTCGAGCATAGGACGGTAAGGTTGCTCGTAGAGAAGTAATTTACACACCATCATCGTTAAACAGAGGATATTGATGAGAACAATCAAACTTCCATGACTCTTTGCACGGAATTGATATCGAGTGCACAGTTGCCAGTTGTATCGGGAGAATCTTGGAGGTATTCTTCGGATGGCGTCATTCCGGCGGTTCTCATGTCGTCTCTCACTCGTTCCACCTGAAACGAATAATGTTTCTTTCTTTATTTTTTTTATTTTTTTTTATTAAACAAAGAGAAATAGAAAATTTTTTCAATTCACAAGACGTAGATTGGTTTTTCTTCGTTTCATCGAGGAACAATTAAAGATGCTTGCGGTGTAGCAAACTAACGGAAAGAAATTCGAGTTTAGATTGAACGAGTTCCACCAACCTGTTGGAGGACCCTCAACAAATTCAGGCCGGCGACTTTTTTTAAGTCGAGCACATTCCATTTCCCACTTCGAAGAAGTTCGGCGAACAGTTCCGGATACTTTGAAACATCTTCGAGTCCTCTCGGTGTTCTGTTAAAAAAATCGATGCCTCTTTAATATCAAATGTTTGATAACAACTTATTGTTGTTATTTTTAAAGATTTTTGATATTTATTTTTGATGATATAAAATAATAAAAAATTCATAGAAAAAACACATCTTTTATTTTTCCTCCGATCGAATATCGACATCAATATTTATTAAATCAATGTTTATATTAAATCAATGTTATATAAACGAAATAAACGAACAATCTCTAACGCTTGTTTATTAATCGTATTACGGAATAACAAACATTTATTAAATTACAACTTGTTGTAATTCTTTCCCATTAACGAATTCAAACGAGTCAAACAAACTATAATTCTTTTTTCGAAGATCAATAAACCGTTAAAAACTTAAAAACTTATCATAGAATATCGTAGAGAAAGAAAGAAGGAAAAAAAAATTTACACCACCATCATTTCTATGTTAGCCGATTTATAGTATAGACACGATGAAATGAACTTGAATTCTGTTTACAGAAAGATACGATAAATCGCGCTATAAATCTTTCGACCAATATCGCAGCAACGAAAAGATTAATTAGAACTGTGCGTAGTACTTTCTTGATTAAATTAAACGAATCAAATTGGATCGTGACTCTTTTTTTCCTGCGTCCTACCATAATTTAAGAAATAATTAAAATGCCGATATTCGACCAATATTGATGAAAGAAATTTAATTTAGGATAAGAGAGCATTAAGTAACTTCTATTCTTTATAATGTATATGGATTTATGGGAAGAAGAAATTTACTTACTTGTTGATACCGTCGAAGTCGCCACCGACACCGATGTGGTCCACGCCAATTAGATTTCTAATGTAGTATATATGCTCAGCGACGTCGGAAATGGTCGCCTGAGAGCCACATTTCACGAAGTAATTATAAAACGTCACCATCACTATTCCACCGTTGGCAGCCTACAAGTAGAATTTTAATAATAACTTCGATAAAGTCCTTCAAAATTTAAAGAGTATATTATTTTCCAAAGTTTTCAAATGTCGTCGTTTCGAAACAAAGATCAAAAATAACAATTCTCTATGTTTGGAACAATTTAACAACAATTATGAAAATCGATGTTATAAGAAATACGTTAACATTTTTTGAACGTGAAACGAGGAAGAGGAGGAATCTCGAATTATTCTAGGAAAAATCGAATTATTTTAACCAAAATATTACAACTTAATTGCACCTTCCGTTAACCGCAGTTTCTGACCGCAACTACTGCGCCACGTTCTTCGACCAAATCCACTGCAATGTTCTCACGTAACCGCATTTCTCGATCGTACGTTTCTCCTTTCGGGAACCGCTTTCGATATTCCAACTTTTCGATTTTCTTGCAATCGTTTATGTTTGAAACTTTACTTTACGAATCCTTTTCCGAGATTGAAATCCGCTTTCTTTTTTTTCCTTCCAATGAATAATGGATCGTTACTTGAATTTTATTCGAGAAAGAATTTAAACGTCTCAATTCAATTATTTATATTTAATAAATTAAATGATTGCACAAGTTTTAAAGAATTCTTTCTAATTTATGATTCGAAACAATAATAGGAAATTTAATTTGAAACGGATTAAACAATTATGAAATATTTTATCAATAATTTGTCAAAGTTTAATTAAAAATTCTTTTACGAGGAGAGAATCTTTTATCGGAGGGAATTCAAGAAAGAAGATAGGTTAATTTCGCGCCTTATTAATTTGTCCCTTAACGAGGAAGAGGTTCCCCATAATGGAGAAGAAAATCAGACGATAGAAACGAATCGATGATAAATGTTTCTGGAACTCCAATAATCATCTATCCTCGAGAGAGAGAGAGAGAGAGAGATATGCCATACTGAGACAGAGAGAGAGAGAGAGAGAGAGGGTAAAAGTAGAAAAATTGCCATTTCCTTTTGATTCGTTGGAAATTTGTTCTCTAACGGATCCTTTCACGTAGATCGTTGGTAAATCGTGACTCTTCAACAATGAATTTCATGAAGCATAGTAACAGAGAGGATTTTTATATTAAATACCAGTTTGACCAGGAATGGAAATATTTTTAACGAAATTCTCCAAATTTTTACATCTTGTATCGTGTTTAATATAACACGTCAAGACTCTTTTGCAAATTTTGTTATAAAATTACATTTTCCTCTTCTCTTATTTTCCTTTACAAAATTTTACTCGTTCCACGTTGTATTTTTTTTCTTTTTCCAACGAACTTACTAAAGTAATTTCGATTCTTTTAATTAGAAAAAAAAAAAAATTTATCATATTAATCGTTCCCTTCATAGAATAACTTACCAATTGCTTCAAAATGTCGTCGGGAACATTTCTCGAGGAATTACAAATGGCGAAGGCCGAGGAGTGAGAAAAGATGAGGGGTGCTCTGCTTGTCCTTAAAGCGTCCCTCATGGTAGCTCTCGCTGTATGACTAAGATCTATCAGCATACCAAGCCTATTCATTTCTTGGACTACTGTTTTCCCGAACGCTGTTAGACCGCCTCCTAGACAACAAATAAATATTTCACTATTCCCCCTTCTCTCCATTAAATCCCTTTTCTATTCTATTCAAATATCGAAATTATATTTCCTCTCACTGTTACTTTTAATTTTATTCGAAAATATATTCGTTTCGACAATGAATATTTTTTTACCATCATTATGCGTTCCATCAATCGCGAAATTTTAAAATTTATCTCATCTTATCAACTCACCATCCTCATCCTCGTCTTCAACCGTCGAACTTTTCGCCCACGGTGTATTGCAAGTGTGCGTGAGGGTCAGATAACGCACACCTAATTGATACAGTGTCCTTAAAACAGCTAAACTACTTCCTAGACTATGTCCACCCTCCACCCCAATCAGCGAAGCTATTCTGCCTCTTTCACGAGCCTCCAGGATCTCTGAAAATTTATGAAAAAGAAATTTAATTATTTATTTATTTTTTTTATTAATCATGAATGATACAGAGAGATTGTAATTCTTTTTTTTAGAAAAGATAAAGGAAAAAAGTTAAGCAAGCAAGATTCGTAAATGCACGTTTCGAGTAATCGGGAAAGATATTCACCCCTTGAAGATGCAGCGAACTGCAAGTGTTGCGAGTACTTCTCTATGAGCCTCTTAATGAGGTCCACCTGCTCCAGAGTCAGCTGGACCGCGTTGAGATGCTGCGACTCGCACGGCACGTAAGCAGACCAAAACTGTGAACGAAGTAAGAGGATTCTTTGGTTAATTAGAAAAGAGAAAGGGGAGAAGGAAGAGAGGCCAAGGTTGATTAGTCGTACGTAGAACGCGAGAAACGAACAGAGTTTCACAGAGATTAAAGATTGCACGTGTTTAAACGATTATTTCCAATTATTTTTTTTTATTTTATACGTAATTACACATAATTCTGAAATAAAATTTTGCTTTCGTACTTTATCTTCCTATTTAAACAATACTTTAACGATACTTGCACTCGTGGAAATTTCGATTACTTTTTCGAATACATTCCTTTTTCTTTTTTTATCGTGCGTTCAAATGGCGAAAGTTTGCCAAAGAGAGTTCGCAACACGTTGGGCTAAACCGACCGATGATCGATGGGGAAATGGCGCTCGAATTTTGGTTCATTATTGCAGTTTAATAAGATCGTCGTCCATTATTGTAGTGAAATTTATTACGCATTACTTTATGCCACGAAACCGTGACAAATTTTATGAGGGTGGTTCGTGATTTATCGTACCGCAAATATGGTATCACGTAGCGTCTATAAATAATCTTCTCCATGAAAATTTACTGCGACCTACGGTTAATCGAACCACGAAGCTAACAACAAATAATAGATTAGATAGGCATTAGGGTTTGATTCTAGAACAATTTCATTTATCCTTATTTTTTCAAAGCGAATTCTCGATGTTATTGTATTCTGTTTCCTCCATTGTCTCTTCTTCTCTTCTTAAACGAAGAGAACGTTCGTTTAAAATTCAATTTGAAATTCTCCCCTCCTCCCCCTCCCCCCCTAAATATATAGCACGAACGAGATATATCGTTTATCGAAATTGAAAACGAATTACGAAGCATATTCACGGAGGAACGCAAGCTGAATATTATACACGACTCTCGAAAACAATAATAGCAATTTGCAATTTTATAATTTTTCACCATTTTTCGTATCGTTCCAGTAACACATATTATATTTAATCTTTTAAACATTAATTCTTGTTCGAGCGATATATATATCGAACGATAAATTTGCACGTGACTAAAAGCTTTCATTTATATAAATAATAGATAGCGCATAAAATTCCATTGCTCTTGTTAAAAGGGATTAAACGGATTGAATTAAATTTTCGATAGAATGGAAAACTGTAAATAATTTATTTCCCATTTTTATTTTTAAAATCGTAAATCGAACCAAAAAAAAATTCTATTTATTAATCGATTTTAAAACGTTGCAATTCCTCCCAATTTTATTTCTCCTCCGTTTCCCCTCCCGCTAGAACGCTAGAAGCGAGCATACGTACAACCACCCCAAAGCGATCTCTCACCCCCATCCTCTATACATCGTACGCTGCTACCAACCTCGGCTAACTCTCTCACCTTACAACTTATACCCCTCCAACTTTCAACCTCGTTGATCGTTCGTGACTAACTCCTAAACCAACCGAAGGGCAAACTAACCGTGAAAGACCGCAAAGTCTCCTATGTTTCTCTCACAAATACATATATATATGTACATACACATCATATATATATATATATATCACGATAGAAGACACACGCTATTTCGCTGACGATTCGCGTCATCGTTTCCCGCCGACGAATGCTCGGCTGGCTGGCTGCGCGATAATGGCGTATCCGGGTTGTAGGAAGGTGGAAAAAAGATAGGAGGATGGGAAAAACAGGCAAGAAGAAAACCAGTCGGCTAGGTAGCTTGGAGCGCAAAAAGAAGCAGCCGGAAAACTTGGAGAACCGGTAACGAGCTTGCGGTCGAAAGCGTAAGGGAGAGAGCGAGAGCGAGCGCGAGAGCGACAGAGAAAGAGAGCGAGCGAGCGCGAGAGCGACAGAGAAAGAAAGCGAGCGAGCGCGAGAGCGACAGAGAAAGAGAGAGCGAGCGAGCGCGAGAGCGAGAGAGAGAGAGCGAGCCAGCGCGAGAGCGAGAAAGAAAGAAAGAAAGAGAGAGAGATGGTTGGTTGGTGTTTGTGGAACGTAATATCGAGTCGTTTTCCGTTTCGCCAGAGAACCAGAGAACACACCATCCGCGTGTTTCATTATGTGTGTCGCGTTACACGGTTATCCACGATAAAGAAAGGAAAGGTTTTCTGTGTCATCTCGCGGCCACGTTGTCTTTCTTAATATTCTACCGGAGATATCCACCGGATTTCAAACGAGTCTCCTCGAAATATTGCGTTTCCTTTCGATTTTTCCCTTCGCAATGTTTCCAACGAAATTGCCAACGTTTTTCGTGTGTATATATATATATTTCGCCATTCTTTTCTCAGCGATTGCTGAGAACAATAAAAGATCTTTGGAATTGTGTCGATTGATAATTGTTCGAATCCATCCAGAACCGTACATTAATAAATAACGAACGTTTGGGGAAAAAAAGTGAGTTCTTTCTTTTTCTATTCACGCGTATAGAGTTGTAATTTATTTTTTATTTTGGTGTTTCAGCTTTTAAGTCCTGAAAGGTTTTAAAGCGTAGGTAAATGAGATTGGAAAAGACTTTCTAGGTAATCCGACGGTAAGCAGGATATAGAAGTTATTCCCTTCAATCGACAAGGAAGGAACATTGTTTCACCGTAATGCTTGAAATTACTCGAATAGGATTTAATGAAGTAAATATATGTATATATCGATCCAGATAAACGTGTAATTAAATATTCCCAGTTTTTGCCAAGTTCACTTTCCGCATTAATGTTTTCAATAGAATATTTATATTTTCGACGTTTAATTAGCAATCTTTCCCTCCGACATTTTTATTATATTTTTCATTCGGCAACATTGATCGAATAAATTAATTAATATTTTGACGCTTTAATTAACAAAAGTGGCCTTTTGTAAAAAGAAACCTCGTATTCCCCTTTATCATTTTTTTTTTTTAATTTTAAAATTAATACATTTTAAAAAATTCATAATATTAATATCGCATTGATCTATTTCCATTCAAATTTTCTCATACATTTTTATATCCTTCTCGACAGGAAATCACAATCCTCGAAAATTGGAAAGCTATCGATGCGATAAATCTGTTTCGATGTTTCATCTTGATACCGAAAGATTAGACCTGCTTTAAGGAACGCGCGTCGTCTGGTTGTAAATAATCTGATCAGGATTTTTGTCTGACGCCAGTGATCCCTGCTTACAGGATCAGCCAACTGGAGGAAGAGAGAGAGAGAGAGAGAGAAAATGTTGGAACTATAGCGAGATATGGGGAGAGATATCGGCGATAATAAGCTACCGTGTGCCAACAGAGGAAAGTTTTATAGGGTGGATTAAACTCGAGGATAAAGTTCTTGTATTAAGTATTCTATTAAATATTCTACTCTAATTTTCTTCGAGATATATGTGTATATCTTTTCCTACACGCGCAAGGATAATCAATCAGTAGATTAAATCAAGAGGACGAAGGGTTATCACGATAAATAAATGAATTTTAAAAATTTTGAAGCCTGAAATTGCTTTACACGATGTGAAGTAATTTCAACGTTCGATACGTAACCATTTCAACTACTGATAATTTCCACATTTGTGGATACGTGTATACATGGAAAAATCATTCGAAACGTTTCATAAATATTAATCGTATTAATTTTTAATCGTCGTAACGTTAATAAATTTATCTTCAAAAAATTATTCCACCAGAATTTTCGATTTGAAAAAATTTCGATCAAAATAAATATAAACAAAATCGTTGACCGGGAGGAGAGAGAGAAACTTTGAAAAACTGTTGGCCACGAAAAGAGGTTGGAGAAGAGGTTCGCAAATTAATTACATCGTTCCTTCTAGTTGGCTAAATAAAAAGCTAAGCGAATTTCATGGGATGGCGAGCCAGGCTTGTTTTATTATTTCCCTCTTTTGCCTACGTTTCACCCAAGTTCTCGAGAGGAAATATGCACGAACGTGCCATGAAAATATTTCTTCTTTAATTTTCCTTAAACCCCTGGTGGTTTCGTGGTGGCTGTAAGGGTAAGCGCCCTCCCCGTTGGATCCGTATGCGTGCACACGCGTGTGCTTGTGCGTGTACCATGGTCGGACGTGACAAGTTTCCAAGGCTTTGTGACGATAATCGATGCATTCAAGCCGTCCCAGACGAGTAACCTGAAGTAACCCCTCGGTTCAACTGCATGGAAAACACCGATTCCTTCTTCAGACGTCACCCTTCTTATTTTTAACCCTTTAAAAAGCTTACCACGCGTGAAATTTTCTCCCCTCCTTTTTTAACCTCGATAACCAACGAAACGATACACAAATTTAGTAAAAAAAAAAAAAAATATTCGGATCATCCTTTCAACGTGCCATCGATTTTAAAGCGTGATCGAACACACTTTCTCTCAGATCCTATATATACGATCATCAGGAGATAGATCACCTGACCGCCGACCATCCCTTGACGAAGCCTAACCAAATCCGTTTGGCTCCAGGCGCTCTTGCTCCAAGGCGCGACTTGCCGTAGGTCCTTCTCGAAATCGAAGTCGGCCAGCTGGTTGTGAACGAAGTTTCTAATGTTCCAGGGCAGGTCATTGTGGCCGTCGATCAAAGGCACCTCGGAAAGGACCTGTCGCACTGTCTCCAATCTCTCCTTGGGCGATGTCAGGTGTGCAGTCTCGCCATCGGCTGGTCGTGGCCCAACCCTTCCGACCCAGCTCCCGATCGACAGTATGATCACGCTTGCTGTCCAGACACCGCTCTGACCGCCACACTGCAACACCATTTCATTACCACGGTTAGTGTAAAATTATCATATACGAATGTATCACATGATTCGGAATTTTTCAAGAAAGGTTTTACCCTCTCGACACTCTCTCCAGGGAGGGGAGAAGGGAAATTACGATTTGGGATCTTTCCAGAGGGCCACTAATGCGATTCTGAACAATTTACCGGCGGATCACGGTTTTATTGCCGCCATTAGGGACGGTTCTGTAACTAATCGCAGTTGAGCCGTAAATAATCGGGAGCGAGTTTTTACTGTTGAGCAAAAATAAACCTTTTTCATTTTGATGGATCCATTGCGAAGGCGTTTGTTAATAATTTCTTAGGGGAAAAGAAATTATTTCCGAGAATACGGAATTTAAATTGTATCGCGCGAAATTAAAAACTTTATCGATTTAAATACGTACGAATCGTATATACGAGAAGTTATTGAAAAGTTTGAAACTTGAACTCCCCCCTATAACCCCGTTTTAATCAATTTCGCTTCTCTCCAATTACCGCCAAATTCCCCCTCCATTCCATTACCTAAAATGTCAGCTTGATTAAAGCTTCATCGATCCAGAGATTCGGTTATCCGAGATACTTTCTCCACGATGGACTCGGCCGAATCGAAACTATATATAGTTCAAGCGGTTAACCATGTAAACTCGTAGCTATGGCGGTCAGATGGGAGACGAGGTATCCAATCCTTTCTTCTTTATCGAGAAATGCTTTACGAATGCTTCGAAAGAAAAAAAGAAGAAGAAAGAATGCAACGCTAGAGAAAATTATCTTTTAAGAAAAAAACTTAACCACTCTAAAGATAAATTTTCTTTGAACGTTCCACGCGGATACATTTTAGGATATAACGAGTTCGGGAAATGTATTTCGCGCTAATACAACCGGATGTCGTGCTCACTCTCGGCTAATATTCGCAGAGAAACGCGATATCCAAAGAGGGTGAAGGTGAGCGACGGTAGTGGGGGAGGGGAGGAGAAGGCTTTGATGTTTTCGTCCAGAAATAATTTACTGTTTCCGTCCTGTGAGTTGCAAATATTCCCCGGTGAACTGTCATCGCGAGGCTGCAGGCGGTGAATAGTTTATGATCCTCGTCAAAGGAACGCGAATTCCTTTTCGCAGGACTGTTCAAAGCGCGTTAGAATGAGAAAAGCGCACGAAATAGGCTTTATCCTTCCTCGCCAATTATTTCCTTCGACCACCACAACTTTCTTCCCCAATTCGACTTCTCCGGAGAGAATCTAAAAAAAGTTTTCTTAAAAATTATATTTTATACAAAAATTATTATATACGATATATCCGTTTGCAGTGAGATCGATCTTGGTATATCGTTGTTCGTCAACCGGCATCACGTCGCCGATGCCAATTCGTCGAAGGAGTGACGAATTGCTGCTTCTTGCCGGACGGGTGATCGATCGAGGTAGTTTGATTAAAAATGGACATCGCCTGTCCGAATTCGTTTACGCGAAAGACAAACTTTCGTTTTAACGCAGCTCGACAGGTGGGTAAATTCAACGGATGGATATCGACAAAGGAGAGAGGAAGTAGTAGACACCAACACTCTTTCTCTTCGAATTATAGGAAGTGAAATTTTTTTTAAAAATTATATCGCGTTAAAATTATATAGCGAGCAATTTTTCTTTCGAAATTAATACAAATTAATATCCGGTTTCGTTTAATTCTTGTCAAGAATTAAAGAAAAAAGTTGCATGAACGGAGCAAGTGTTTTTCTTTTCCAAGTGTTTTGTATGTATAGAAAGGATTACACGGGTTGGGGGAAAAGAAGGAGAAACGGCAGAGTGGCGAACAATGTCGCGTGGCTGTATCCAGCGCCTGACTACTTAAATGGCAACTGCGCTACTTGCTCGCCGAACTGTGGCGCTGCGTACGCTTCTCCACCTTTTTCCTTTTTCTTTTCCACGAGAGACCGAGATCCTTCGAATTCCCCGCGCTCTTATGGGAATTTTTATCCAAGGATAAAAATTTTATTTCGCCCTGTCTTCGAATCGCGGTTAAGGCGTACGAACATTTCTCTTCTCGAACGACATATCGGACGATATATAACACGAATCGTTATCTCAACTATTTAAATTTTCTTCCTTCGATGCGATTCAAAATATTCCAACAGTTTCTACGCATTCATACATTTATCGATCGCTCTACGAAAAAATCACTTCACAATGTAACATTTCCAAGAGCTAAGAGAGAAAGAAGTATGCACGCAGGCGCGCGTAAAACGTAAATAAAATTTAATCAAAGTGGGCAGGCGGGGATCTTCCAAAATGAATTCCATCCCCTTTCGATCCGCTCCCCTCTCTCCGATTAACACCCCCTCCCCCCTCCCTCGTAAAAATTCCAATATCGAGGAGATCTTGTCCCGACTACCACCGGCAAACGGAAGGACAACCCGTGGAAAAATCTCTCATAGATTCGCCTCGGTCTTCGATTGTCGTCTCGCGATTTACATCCCCTCTCTCGTCCTTTCTTTTTTATTAAAAGATCGTAAAAAGAGTTGTCGCTGCACTCCCCTCTCTTCGTTAAGGCGAAAGCAAAGGGAAACGGAGTGGGATAGGAGTTGGATTGGCCGGCATCCAAATATCCCGGTATTAGAGGAACGTGGTCGAAGAAAGTAGAGATCTCGATCGATCGATCGAGGATCGAAGTTCGACGAGACCACAATGGACGTTGGTTACAATGGTCCAAAATGAAAGGACGAAAGGAATAATCGTCTCTTCTCCCTTTATTTATATTTTCTTTTTCTCTCCTCTTCGACGTATCGCCACCGATACGTTTCGAATCACTTATATACGAGGGTTACCTACAAGATGGAATTTAATGCCTTTCTCGAATTTATCACTTGGGCTGGTCGAGACAGCTACTTCGAGACGGTGGGGAAGAAATATATTTTCCAAGCATGGAGGTATTTTTGTTTTAACCCCCACCTTTCCCTCGCTTTATGCTTTATGCCCGCTCTGTACACGGCACCGGTTATCGCGCATGCCGTTTCGAATTTTGACGAGTCGTTTGGATTTTTCACGATCCATTTATTTCGATTTTAAATCGATCGAGCGACGACGCCTTTTGTCCGAAATTTCCTCCGTTTCCGTCGAAACCAATTCGCTTTTGTAAATTGGGTATTTTTTTTTTTTTTTTTTTTTTTTGAAAAGGCAATGCGTTTGAACAGCGTTTATCTTGCTTAATCGACGTTTTAAAGCGCCCGTACCCGAGATCCAATTATACGATCTTCGAAATTACGCCACCACGAAATAACGCTCCTTCGCTTTATTAACGGTATCGGGTTCTCTCCTCTTGGAAAACGAGACGCAGATGCGTTTATTCGTCCGAAGGGAAGTTGGTACGGGTCACCGATCACGTTTACAGAGCCACCATATCGTTCCTTTTGTACAATTGACGAGGCAATTTCGCGGATCGAGGCGAAGCCTTCGAATCCATTGTAAAAACGAAAAAACGCGTGTAATTTTATAGTCTTGGAAACGTTCTCTCTCCAGCTTTCGTCACGTTGGCAAGTGTTCTCGATTTCGAATAGACGGTTATAAATTTTGGGTTATAAATTTTTTCGAAACCTTTGATTTTATACAATTTTTTATTATTTTTCATTTATTCTCTATCTTTTCCATATATATATATATATATATATATATGTATAGTGTAAATTTTAATTCGTTTGAATATAAAAATTGATTGCATCCGTCGACGATCCTTGCTTTTTTGTTTCAACCGCAATAACGATCAATTTTTCCCCAATTATTTATCCGCGTTTAATTTATTTCCCTTCCTGCACACACCAGATAAATATCGATTCGATCCTCCGTGGATATAAATTTTAATTTCCTCGTGACTCGACGTAAAAAAATTAATTCAACTAACAAATGTCACTTTTCTACCGAATTTTCCGCGATACTTTCAATTTTACCATCGAATCAGAGAACATCGATTTAACGAAAAGAATTCAGAGGATCGAATTAACGAATTACTTTTAACGAGGCGAATTTCGGACGATATCGCAAATCGATATCGGTCAGGCTTAAATATTCATCCTCGTTCGAGCTCCCCTGCAATATTTCCGAATTACCGAATCACGTGCCAGGAAGGAGCCGGCCGATAAAGTGGATGCAAGTAAGTGGAAATCTAAGAGTAAATGCCGGCGCGTAAGGGAAGCGAATTGGAAATTTCTCCGATCGCAATTCGCGTTACGTGACCGTCTCCCTCCTCCTCCTTCTCCTCCTCCGCGCGGTATTTCATGGAAATTTCTCCAGGGACGGGCCTGGATGCCGCCTCCATCGTCCAGGCCATCCTTCCGCCACGTGTGCGCCCCTAAAACATCGCGATCCATCTTGCCCACGCCAGACAATTTTTCTCCCGCTCGAGATAGACATCGCGCAGGCGCGCTCGCTCGAAAACGGCGACAACGTGAACGAAGATTTCGGGTGGAATAAGACCTTTTTCTTTTCCTTCTTTCCTTTCTACGAATGTTCGCCAACGTTTTTAATCTCCACGTATTTTTCGGCTCTTGGTAAGAATCAAGTCGATCAGAAAGATTTGGAAATTGAAAAGTATTTCGATCGTCCATATTTTGTTTTAACATTTCGCTCGCTCGAATTCGATTCGATCCTCCATTATGAATTTTGCCGGCCATTGTTACGAAAAGCCGCGCGTCCGTTCGAACGAAAATATCCGCATTTCTACTCTACTCTCGCGATCGGACGTGGCCTCAGATTTCCCATTCACCTTTTTTCCACTTTTTTAAACGAGCTCTCGATCGAACAAGCCGCGTCGTAACGTTACGAGAGAAATTTTGGAAGAAAAATTAAAAATTGGGAGTGATTTTTAAGCGATTGATTTTTCCGCGCTCGAAATTGTTTCGGTAAATAATTGTTATTATTGCTCTCGTGCCTTTTTATTAATCGAAAATATGGAGCGCGAATTTTGACGTGAAATTACGAATTGGATTTCCATAAAAGAAACGCGGGG